TTCTGCTTGATTCAATCTTTACCTAATACCAAAACAAACAAAGCTTCCTTTGGAAAATGGAACTGCTTTATTTTTTAATTATTTTAATCAAAATTAGATTTTTACTTCAGCAACATCTGACGAAAAATGTGCAAAGCAAGTCCAATCTGTCTGGCCATTTCCGAGCCTTTGTGCTCCTGGTCTTTTCCTGTCCAACCTTTTCAGATATGAAATAAAACGGGATGTTTAATAGTGACCCATTCATATCCACCACAAGGAAACTACATACCTGCTTTCACAACCGGGATTTTAAAGCATTTCTTTATCTTCTACAGTCTGCTTTGAGCCAACGTGCCTATATGAATGTAAAAATGATAATTACAAGCAAGAGGTTGTTTAAGGATTTATTTTTATTTGATCAGCAGTCATATTTCATGAGATCAAACAAGATCAGTTCCACAATTTATGAAGAGAATAATACAGAGTTGACAGAAAATAATATATGTTCATGTTTTTTAACGACATGCGAATTTGTAGGATTTTTTTAAAGTTATTTCTCTTCATATTTTTACTAGATGTGTAGTCATGCTATTAAATCACCATGATATTTCTTGTCTAAATAAAATCTAACAAAACATCGATGCCGTCAGCATGTGTCTTTGGTGGAGTAAGGGTAAGCTATCATACACTGAAATAATAGCGCTATTTCTGGTTTGTTAGAGTGACAAACAAGCACACAACACCACTTCATCACTCATGTTCTCTGTTTCAGTTTAACAGAAATCAAATTAAAACATTTTCTGCCCAAGCTACCACACTGCACATCCAGCCTCCTGTTTGCTGCTCCTCCATGACGCAGACAGGAACTTGCACTTTGACCTCTAAAAAATGTCATTTAAAATAATTACGAATGCAATGCATACATATATTCTTGTTCTGTTTATAAACAATAGTTAAATTCAATTATTTTATGCCTTGGAAAATCAAAGTGTCAATTTAGAAAAAAAATTTCTCAACAAAGAAATGAAAAGTGTGTGGTGTTTTAAATTTTCTTCCACATCGATGGACGTTAGATTCGAGTCATTTCATTTTTAGCCTTTTAGAAATTGGCTTTGACTTTATTATGGGTTTTCTGTAGCCTAGCGTTGCATCAAAATATACACAAACACGGTCATTTGCACAAAATATGATGTTCCAACAGGGCCGTCGTTCTGAAAAACATCTCAAAAATGGATTTAGAGTGGAAGAAGCAGACTAACTAAAAACCCGACTTCAAACCTACAGGAACAATTCAGATGAATTAAAAAAAAATGCTTCAACTGAAAATAAATTCATGCAAATTGTGAGATTAAAAAGAGATTCAAACATACTGGTAATTTTTCTACAGGCAGAAGGGGAAATAACTGCGAATAGCATTTCTTTTACAATAGTCTATTGAAAGAAATAGTGATTTTACCTGGCTCATTTTTTTTTTTTTTTACTTTCAGCAATAACTGCTGGTTCACCTTTTCTATAGATACTATTGTTCAAGTTGCTGTCTACTTTTGTCAAACAGATCTTTAAAATGGTTATTAGAAAATGATAGATCTAAATGTACTTATTTATCTTTTTCTCTCAGTTTAAGTTTGCATAATAGACAGCATTGTGAGGGACGAAACTGATACAATTTCCTTTAAATGTCTGGCCTTCAAATCTTCCCTTGAAGATGGCTGTTACAAAGTGTTTTCATATATTAATATACAGAATGAGCATGCATGCATAAACCAACAGTGTGCATGCATAAGACTGTGTGTTTTTGTGAATAGCCATCTGCATCTAACAGGCTAATTGCTCTGAGCAGTATTATCTCATTAGGGCTCATCAGCGTTTGACATTTAAATACAGAGCTGCTAAAAGCCTCTGCTTATTTAACATTAGCATTAACATCTTGCGGGTTGTTTGGAGAGGCAGGGCAGGTACCGACCTTGGTCTTTTTAGCTCATTTTCTCTTAACTCCCCGCTCTCAGAGCCTCTTGGCAATTTTGTTTTTACTTAAATCACCAATTTATGCATTTAATAAGAATAATGCTGCTAATAGCCGCAGTGTGAGTCTGGCAGAAGTGCAGCGAGAACAATTACATCAATAAGGAGGGAAAGCAGCGGCGACATTAGCAGAAAGGAGAAAAGTGGGACAAGCGAGGGGGACACAGAAGGAGGAAGGTCAGGAGAGCAGCGTTAGAGAGGGACGGTAGAGCCTGATGGGCACCAAATGAACAAATTATGACGGACTCCATTTTGCAGGATGGGGTCACCCCCTCCTCTTATTCCCCTCTATCCCACCCTCTTCTCTTTTTGCAGTCCTCCTCTCTTCTCTTCTCTCTCCTGACAGTTCAATTTCCCCCTCTCGCCTCCCTGCTCCTGCCTGCTAATTGTGAGTGAAGCCTTATCATTGGGCCCCCCATCCACCCTCGGTCCAAGGAATCGCAGCGTCTGAGAGAAGAGACCGGAATGTCAAAATGTTATCCGAGACAGCAAACAGCCAGAGAGACGGAGGTCACACACAATAAGGCCGGATGTTCATCTGAATGCACGAACACGGGCAAAGCATCTCTCAAAGGAAGCTCACAAGAAAAGGCAGAGAAAAAATTATATGAAAATGTATTACAGACATTTCAATTATGTTTTCGGTCTCTTTGCGATGCTTTTATGTTTGGTTATTTTCCTTCTGACTTTCATTTGATGTTCTTTTAAGCAATTTGGATTGTCTTATATACAAATGTGATCTTGTCTTGCATATGTAATCTAAGAAATTACTCTCAAAGGTTTTTAGCAATGAGCTGATCTCTATGATCTGGCATACAGTACTTATAAAAGTATTCGTATCCTTTCATTTTTCTTTTTATAACCAGATACTTCGATTTCACAAAGTAGAGCTTTATGTACAATTCTTTTCATGCTTTGTACAGCACTTTATCAAGTCCAGAAGACCCAGAAGAATTTCACACTCGTCAGTCATTCACCCATTCACACACACACTGATGGTGGCAAGCTACTGGACAGCAGCCACAGCTGCCCTGGGGCAAAATGTTGGAGGATTCCAAAAAAAACACAACAGAGGCGGGTGGAGCGGGGATTGAACCAGCAACCCGTCGATTCCGGGGCGAACTCCACCGTCGCCTATTCACAGCCTCATCTAAGAATACCTGACATCCTTCTGCAAGGTTTTGTTCATAGTCGTCTTTTAGTTTCACTACTCACTGTGATACAAAAGAGGCAAATAAGCAGAGAGACATGAGGCAATCTTCATTCTGAAGGGAGCAGCTGGATTCTCGATGGGTTTGGGTTTAAGCGCTTTAACGGTCAGCTGACAGCACTGATCTAAGGTCAGAACAATCTGAATGCAGGAGGAACTGTCACGGGCGACACAGGACAGAATCACTGACCCCAGACGTTCCCCATCACAGAAAACTAGATGGTGGGTAAGAACAGAATGAAGGGGGAGAAGATTCAGAGGTGAGAGAGAAAGAGCATTCATCTATATTCCAGCCATGGTAATGAGGGTTAATTCACTGGTTAAGGATTAACAAGGTGAAGGAATATGATGGGTAAGCAGTTGGCTTCTTGAATGTGGGTTTAAATCAACTCTGTAATGTGTGATGTAACCTCGGCTCCAGAGCCCCGCCTAGTGGGAATGTAATTACGCCGCGACTTCTGGGACTCTTCATGAAGTGAAACTCCAGATCCTGTGGTGCTGAGAGTTCAATTAAATTACAAAATTTGTGAATAACTACCAGAACTAGTGTGACATTTAAAACCCCGCTGTCTCGTATGTCTACTGTAAATCGCCACATGCAGATACATCACACTCCATGCTGATTCAAGGTGGGACAGTAATTCCTTGTTAAGAACAATTTTTGTTTAAAAAGTTAAAACCATACCTGGTGGCGCTAAAACTGTAAATACTTTGTCAAACTCCATTTTTGCCAGGTCAGAAACTCTTAATCTTATATTGGATCATTTAGAAAACATTTAACGTGTAACGTTGTTAACAAATGTTCCTCATTTAAAATCCTATTGATTTTGTAAGGTGGCAAGATAATTGTCAGTCTGTCTTTCTTTAATCACCGTTGAGTTTTATTGTAGGAATTGTTGCATATCCAACAAAAACAGATGATTTTGTTAGAAATAATAAGAATAATTAGTTTTAACGTACTAAAATACAGCTCAGGAAAAAAAAAGAAGAGAAGAAGAAATGATCAGTTTCTCTTATTTTACTCTTTATAGGTAAATGTTTGAGGAAAAGGAACTTTGTTCTTTTGTTAAATGAGATATTAACATGTCTCCAAAATTCCAGGCAAACATTTTGTATTTATTTGCAAAAAATAAAAAAGATGCAGTGCTTTCAGACCCCAAATAATGCAATGAAAACTAGTTAATATTCATTTAGAAACAACAATACTAATGTTTTAACTCAGGAAGAGTTCAGAAATCAATATTTGGTGGAATAACCAGGAGGTTTTAAACAGGATTCAATGTCGCTTAATTTTTTCCAGAGCTGTAGATGGTGAATTTTTCAAACAGTTCCAGTTTTAATAATGCTGCTGATCCTACTGTAATTCTTGATCATTTTAAGCCTTTTTACAGATCTTTTACCAACAGTGTAAGTAAGTGTGAGATTCATGTGTTACCACCGTCCCAGTTGTGTTAGTATTATGGTGTATAATTGTTAACACTGTTCGTTGCAGCTCATTATGCATATCATCTTAACATCATGCAAAAGGTTGTTGGAATCCATTATACGTGAGTTAGCTGCACAGAGGGTGTTTCAATGTTGAGACTGAAACTCAGTTTTTTTTTTGTCTCTTGATTATGGTGAAAGAATACATTTTAAATTCTAACCTAATTGATAATTAATCTAATCTACCAGCAATGTGATTGAAACAGATCATTAATGCTAACATTATGTGTAGGCACTTGCCCACAGCGGTGCTCTAACTGCAGGCGATCTATCTCTCCATCTGTATTCTGACAGTCCAAGGGAGTGTAAGTGACATTTTAATGAGGCCTAATTTACGATACAAAGTTCAAAACTCTGTTTGGTTTAAATGGACATATAAAACACAGCAGCACTGAGCAACCAGCCTTGAAACAAGCAAAAACAAAACAATAGGATCAAATTCAAAATATCTGGAGACAAACACATTTTGAAAAGGTAAGCCCCTATAAATGAGTGTTGGTGTGGAAAAGCATCAAAATTCAATTTCTGATTATATCTTTAAAAAAAAAAGATTTGATTTTAGTCAAATTAAACGTTAACTTTGTACAAGTGCCTATAGCTCTTCACTAAGTTCCTGCAGAAAACTTTAGCTGTGCATCATTAATATTTTGCACAATATTAATAAAAAAAACAGATATAACCCCATCAGAAAATACAATGAATTTTACAGTGCATAAAACAGAAAAAAATATTAATTGCCTTTAGTTGTCATTAATGAACAGACAAAAATATGAATCTGAATACACAGCCATTGTTTCTGATCTCTTCATGAGAAATAAAACGAACTCGATCTCCAGTCTTGGAGATCGAGTTCGTTTTATTTCTCAGCTTACTAATAACGACTCGAGCTAAGCTAATATTTCATCATCACCTCGCCGCCGTGAGAGAGATCCTGATGCTATTAGCAGACTAATGGCTAAATGCTCTGGCACCGCTAAAGAGGATACAGCCACTGACACACTTGGCATCTGTTAGCTCGTTTAGCACGGACATAAATGAGTCTGTGAAGAAAAGACATGAAGATTGGGAACATCAGTGACCCCTTACATACTATATATATCAGTAAATATATGCACACACACACACATACACACACACGGACATGGTGACCCCTACACATCTGATGAGATGGGAGCTGATATGCGAGTTAGTGGGAACCACATTTGTAAAAAGCGATAGCCAATTACAGCAGTGCGAACTGGGGGGATAATAGCCTGCCTGTCAGGGTCTGTGTGCAGTATATGTAAGCGTTCGCATGTGTGTGTGTCTGTGCCTGAGCACGCGGTACCCAAGGGTGAGTATTGGGCTCCTATTCTCATCTATTTGCTCTATATCTCCATACCTTAGATATTAATTTCATAGCAGAGCTGCAGCGCGAGGCCTGGGTCGTTAGCGTAATTCGTCAGGGGTTCGTCCACAACGTGCTTAAAAAAGATGGAAGACAAAGACTAGTCTGAGAAAATGGGAAGAATATTTCTGTGAGATTTCAGAAATGTGTTACATTTGAGGGGGGTTTTTTACCCGTTACACTCGGGGTATGAACTTTTTTTTTTTTTTATAAAATACTTATAAGAAGCAATTGCAACAACTGTGCAACACGCAGTCATAGGAAAGAGGAATATAATTTACAGTTTAGATAATGTATACGTTAGAGAAAAATTTGGATCAACTACACAACAGATTCCAGATCATCATTTGTTAAACCACATGGTAAAAGCTGTGTTGGAAAAAAAAGTAAGTACTCCCTTTTATTCAGTGGCTCATAAAAAATAAAAGTTGAAGTCTTCAGATCCACTAAGACCCGACTTTGCCGCCATCTTTACAGGGAAAGGCTTTCTGTTTGCAACTCTTCAGAACAAATCGTACTTGTGAATTTTGACATGGTGACAGAGAACAATCTTTATCATTGTTGATGTTTTTCCCTCTTGGCATTGTGTTAACACACATCTGTAAACATTGTTGTGTGCTTCCATACTTACTAAAATTATTTACAAAAACTGGTGTAGACCATTATCCTCCTTACGACCTGAAATGGAACTCCATGGATCTGAGAGGGGGAGTACTTTCTTTTTCCATGACTGCATGTGTCACATTATCCCATATACCGTATTTGTCAGAGTACTCCTACAAAAGTCATGGATCACTGAATCTACATGAACCTCCAGGAGGCATCGGGAAGGAAGCAGAACAGGGGGAAACGGCAACGATAGAGACACAGTTGGAGAGCTCACATAACGCTTTCTTGTCCTGTACTTTTCACAGACACATGATCTCCTCAAGGACTTGGCCCTGTCAGCCCCAGCAGCCAGCCATCTGAAACAGAGGAATGATAGACTATCAGAGAAAGGGAAACTGTTCAAGGGAATTGTGTGGATTTAGTGGTCTAGTGCTGACACATGGCTTTGAGCATGGTAGAAAAGCACTTTAACTCTTGAGTGCTTTTATCGCATGCACACACTTCATAAAACGTGGGTTTATGTCGTCAGATGGCTCAGACGTACAGCAACACACACACACACACACACCGAGTGTGCATTGCACTACCTCAGAAGGAAGAATGGCTTTAAAAGTGAACCAGCTGATATTTTATGCTATGTAGCAGCCTTGCATTTAGTAAAAGTGTCCCTTCATAAAACAAATGCTGATGGAAGAAATGACCTAACTGAGTTTTTTTATCTGCAGTTGAAGCCTTTATTATGTAAACATATTTTAATAGTGAGTAGGTGTTAACCAGTACCAGTATTTACAGATGCATTCTGCATTCATATTATTATGATGAAATCAAATAGAAAAACAGTATCCATGTCAGCGCTTCTTTATGTAGATTTTAAGGCCCTGCTGTCCTTCCTGCTTTAGATATGTCTCTGCCTCGTTAAAATGCAGTCATCTGAATGTGGTGTGACTGAATCAAGTGCTGGAGGAACATGTTAATCATCTATTTATTGGAGTCAGGTGCACGGCAGCAGGGAAACACCTAAAACATGCAGTATGGTGAGCCACGACAGTAAGGATTCACATCTATATCATGTATTACGTTTGAAACATAAGAAAATGGTTCCATGTCAAACAAAACCTGTAAAACGGTGCTGAGGTAAGAAGAATTAAACTTTTTGATCAACATGCAAAATGCTGTGTGTGACAGTGACGGCACACTGAACACACAACCCCCACATTGACACAATGGAGACAATATCACACTGTGGAGATGCTTCTCTTTAGTAAGGACACAAAGCTGGTCAGAGGTGAAGGGATGACGGAAAAGAGCTACAGCTGAGCTCAAACTATTAGTACAAATTACTTTAATTTGACCAAGACAATTAGACAAGGATCACACAAAAGATAATAAAGTATCTAAATTATTTATACCCTAAATTATTTATATCCTTTTCCATAAACAATGGAAAAATCAGGTTTGGCATAATAGTCTGAATAGTTTTTTTGTTTTATTTCACTGGAGACAGCGTCAGGTCTGGTAACTTTAAAACAATTATTTCTTTGGGTCAGACGTAAAAAGTCAGAAAAGGCAAAGATTACTGCAAATCTAAAACTACCAGGGGTATGAATAATTCGGGGCTTTACTGTAAATGCAAATTGCACTGAAAATACGACAGTAAAACACGGTGGTGCAGCGTCATGCTGAGGGGATGCTTTCATTTAGCAGGTAAGTTGGTTAGAGCTGACGGGAAGGTGGATGGAGATAAATTCAGGGTAATCTTGAAAGTCAGAAAGTTGGATGCTTGGAGCCTGGAGAGGAGCGTCGTCTGAGGACAAAAACGGAAAATATGATGGAGAGTGATGGAACGGCTCACATCAAAGCACATTTATGGAGGATATAGCAGCCTAGTCAAAGTCCACACTTACATTCAATTAAAAATGTGCCTTTTAAATTGATTTTAGCAGACTATCAAACCTACTAAAATCGATTCATTTAGCAAAGAGGAGTGTAAAAATGTCAGTGATTAGTAAAAATTTCAGATTCATTTAGAAGCCGTTTGTTCCTGTCTGCATCCGTTTTACTTTGTGACAGTGAAGAAAACGGTCTTTTCACCTCCAATGTCAATATCGCAAAATGTTGTCAACCTATTTGTCACCAAGCCTCTTTTTGTACTTTACAGAAATACTAAACAGTGGCTTTAATACTGAAAACAAACTGGAAAGCCAAAGTGTGTCCTATGTGATATTCCCTTCTCTCCTATTCATCTCTGTAATAGAGATGCAAGGTTTGTAATGCTCGCTGGGAGCCAAGCATGAGATTGAGGATTTCTCACACACCATGCATTATTCATACCCCAGAGCAACAGAGTGTGTAAGATGAGAATTACACAGCATGAAGAGAACAGGGGAGAGGGAACGGAGGGGAGGAGTGGGGGAGAAGGAGAGGAAGGAGAGAAAAGCATAGGTGAGACACAGCATGGGGAAGAAAAGAGATTAACATGGAGACAAAAAAAGATAGATAAATCCATCCATTTCTGGGTTAAGCGCTGCATTGTTTCTGGAGTTTGTGGGCAGTTGGGTGGAGGAAATAAATATGGAATCGAGAACCCAGATTGGCCGACAGTTTGCATCTTCTAAATGTGGCTCTTGTGAGTTTTGCTTGTATTCCGAGCACAAGCTGAATAGCGAGCAGGAAATTTCAGGGTTCGTGTTCGGCCTTGGTCTCCGTAATGAAAAACAGTGGGAAGTGAGCCAGGGTTGGAATTGATTTGTTTAACAATGGAAATGAAACAAAGTAGGAGGCACGGAGCAAAACAGGAGGCATGCCATCTTCAGCGAAAGCTCGAGACCACAAAATTGTAAGAATAATTTCTGGGCGGTTAAAAAATAAAAAATGAAAAAATAGATTTTATGTTTGTTACTTTGTTATTATTCTCTCAGTCACATATATCAGGCTGTCAAATGGATTCTCGGTGCTTTTTTAAAGTTAAACCGTTATATAAAATCAGAGTACTGAACAGTCATGATTTTTTATTGTAATTATTAAGTCAAACAATAGCAATAAAACTTTAATTCTTCCTCTGATGACCCCATTTGCTTGGTCTGAAAGCCTTTTAGCAGAAGACTAATGTTGTTAGTTTACTCAGTTAATGGAATATTACATTACTTTTTTTTTTCTATTACATACGTGTGCACGGGTGTGTGCGAGTGTCTCCACAGATGCAGCCTTAATGACAAGAATGTGATGGTTACTGGCTTTTTAGCTTCCCAGTGATGAAAAGCCAGTATTAATTTGGGCTACAGATTTCATTTGTTCCGAACAGGAAAAACAATATAAATCACTTTTAGCGTGATTAGAGAGAGAGTTAGATTAATCCAGGCCTGATTAGGGCATTATGCCGGCTTGTTATGGACACACAGGGTGACTGACGGTAATTACTGTCTGTAATAGGAGAGCTCACGTTCAGTCAAGCCTCGAGCCGGGCAGTGTGGCTGAATTTATGTGTGCAGTTATATATACTGCATGTGAGGGCACTGCTTGACTTAAATTAGGACTGGAATGAAATAAAAAATAAAGAAAACTGTGACTTGCCTGAAACAAAACTTGTCTGCAAGGCAAAATGGAGATATTGTTAGCTGCATGCCAAAGGAGAGGTGAAAGCAAAAACAGACTTATGGCTTTGTTTATGATTATTGATGTACTAAGACAAACATATTCACCTGGATAATAAAAACAGATAGCTGATGTGTTTGGCAAATATTAGCCTGCTGAAAACTGGAGAGGTGCTACATCAGCAAATTGAACCTGAGCGCAGCTGAAAGGCGATTGCAGAGACTGCAGCGTCGAATCCATAAACACGACACACCGCAGACAAAACATGAGCATAGTTTCCACATATGCAAGCACTTGAATTAAATATTGATCATTTATCTTTGTTTTCATGTAGCTTTACAATGCAAATTAAACTCCTAAGTCCAATTTTGGGTCAACTTTTCCAAATCAAAGATGAGTTCGAGGCATGTTTTCCACAGAGGTCATCCCTAAACATGGCATGAACCACAGACTGTGAAAAAGGATGGATGGACAGACTGATGGGTGGATATAGAGTAAATAATCAAACACATATCAAAAATTCTCTCTGAAGAATGGATTCCTTATCTTTCCAATGAAACATGCATGATTTTCAGATTTATGATTTACTGAGCGTCAGCTAAAATTATTGGGTTTTTAGTCAACAATTGTACAGAAAAATAAAACAGTATAATCAAGAGTTCCAGATTAATGACACTACGGCACATTTGCTAATTTTTACTTAAATAAAAAGCAACAAAAAGCAAAAAAAAGTCAAACAAAGGGAAGATTTGTGGAAAAAGTTGAAAGCAGTTAAATGTCTGAAGGAGGTTGAGTCCACACCTTCAGTAGTAGCTCAGAAACATTTTTATTTCTAGTAATATTTTTATAACCAGGATAAAATTGGAATGTATGTAACTGAATTTAAATCTGAATGATTGGATTGAATTGACTTGCAACAATATTTGTTGTAAAATGGTGCTACATAAGTAAACTGAATACAACTGAAATCCTGAACCTAGAATATAATGACAAAGATGGCCTGACGGTAAGCGTGTGCATCTTCTTTTTATAAAACCAGCATAAAAGTTAGACATTTTATACCTTTTCGGCAATGAAACAAGGAATAAAAAATTTAAGTCTGGAAAAAACCCAGATTTCTGCTTAGCTCAAAGTCCATACTTTTCCACACTGTTTGGGGACCCTGGGCATTAATTCTGAGTTGGATTCAGAAAGGACTCAATCCGCTGCTCTTATCATTATTGCTGGGAATTTCCAGCAGGTGCGAGGCTAAACATCTTTTACAGTTTGGAAGCAGACATAAGGCACCCAATGAGATGTGTCCCATTAAAGGCATGGAAAATAACTAGGCATATTTAGCACCACATTGCACATCTCTCTTACGGCTGCACTCCCTCCTCCACACTTCTTTTCCTTTTTCCACTCTTCCTTCACCCTCTTGTCCCTCTCTGCTTTTTTCTTTATAGCAGCACTTGTTCCTTTTCACTACATCACTGCTTAAAAGAGAAGTTTAACATGCTGTTGGCTCAGCGAGAGCCTCACGTGATTTAAAAAGGCTTAGCACCCCCCGTTGGCCTCTTTGGGTTGTAAAACAACGGTCCAGAAGCTGATTTTATGAGTGCACGCCTCTGCTCTTTGCATGTTTATGTCAAATATTTGGAACAAATGGCATCCATTGGCTGGAACAACACGGATAAATCAAGTCAATTCGCAGGCAAGGAGAGCGGAGCGGGCCGCAGCAAAAGTGGCCCACTTCATGGCTGACGACAGGAGTGCTGCATTA